CCACAATAACATTTCATACATTTATCTCTTGGCCTGAGTCTCGTACACTCAGTACTGACACAAACACAGAACAGACACACATATGTACATGCATAAGAAAATAAATTGCACGTACATGCTTGCACACACACAGAAGAGTATTACAAAACATTATGCTCTAATATCCCTCCCTCTCCTTCTCTCTGTCCAAGCGTTCCTATCTATGTCCTTTCTCTAATCTTGTATTCTCTTTTCTGAAGTGCAGCAGTTGCACTGACTTTTTCCCTCTGACGATTTCACTACATAGTGAAGAACATCACCTTCATCCTGACCTCCACTTGTTAAGACACAGCTGATATGCTATCCTCCTCTGCCTTATGGGTTTCCTCACATGGGCCCTCTTCTTCAGTTTGAGAGATTAACTGCAGCCAAGAAAAGTAAAGATCTGATTCAGAGACTCTGACTTTCTGGGCAAATGTTAGATACTTGGCACATCTCTTTTGCTGTAAGTCTGATGTCTGACAAATGTGACAGGAGAGTTCAAGAAGCCATATAGACTTATTCTCAACAAAAATAAAGGGTGGGTGACATTACTAATCTTATAAATCAAACCTGATTCAGCAAAATACACAGGAAATAAATGTCAATATGAAATACACAAAATGACCAGAAAAGTTTACCAAATCACAAGACAATAATCATGTAAAAAAATGTACGAAAGAACAGAATGCTCAGATTGAAAATTTGGGGCTCCTCGTTGTGGTTAACATTTAAACCACCCCTTATAGTTTGGGGTCCTCCGTCTTCCAGTTGACAAGTTCAGTGGATGTTCTTTAAAGAAATTCTCAAGGTGAAAATAGAGATTAAGGTTAGTTTGTTTGGGATTTCACAAGTAGGGAAATTAATTAGGATAGTATACAACACAAGCAATTATGAAAGACTAAGACTTTAATCATATTCTTGATTAATCGATAAGGAGAGAGAGAGAGAGAGAGAGACTTATTTAACAGGTATGACTTCACAGGAAGTCAGCGCCAGTGTGTGTGTGTTTGCTTGGGGTGCCGATGGGACAGTGGATAACCTGGGTTCAATCTCCTACTGTGACCCATCCACCCTTGTGTCCTTGAGCAAGACACTTAACCCCTAGTTGCTCCAGAGGTGTGCAACCTCTGACATATATAGCAATTGTAAGTCGCTTTGGATAAAAGTGTCAGCTAAATTAATAAATGTTTGTTCCCTGCTTTGTGTATATCTGGTGTGTGTGTATGCATTTGTCTGTGTCTTTAGTGTGTGAGTGCGTATGTGGGCAGATTTCTCAATGCTGAACAATGACATTTTGTTGTTAGACTCAGGAGGAGAGGAGTCAGGTGAACGGATCAATGTCAAGCCAGTACACTGATTGGACTAAATAAAGTCATATTCAGATTGCATAATTAATAAAATGTGGTTGATGTTGTATATATTATTATATCCTAAAATTTTGTTGTTGGCCTTAAAATGTACTAAAAAATGGTGTGACATTTCTGTTTGTGGGTTAAAAAGCTGTCAGACTAAATCCCCAGAACAGAAACATGGACATATGGAAATCAGATGGGCTGTTAGCAGTTGGTGTGCATAAAAATGATTTACTTTTCATATAGACAGTCTACATGACCAAGTTTCTCTGTCCTTAACAGGAAATGAGTTGACTTCCAGAGACTTGCTGTCTGTAACTGTTACTGAGGTGGAAAGCCAGAAGAAACAAATCCAGGTTACACATCATACTGGACACAAGCAGCTTATGTGGGTATGCACACATTCTGGCCACTCTGCTTCATCAGGATATAAACAAACCATGAATGCGCACGCACACACACATGCACAAAACTAATATGTACTCACTCTCACACACCCTGGGAGACTTGTAGAGTTTAATTGTGAAGGCTGGATGTTGTGATAAACTTACAGCAGCTTTGTATAACAAATCCAACAGTGGTCGTGCCAGTGACTGAAATAATGATGTTACACACATCTGTTACTGCGCCGAATCTGCCAGCTCACTCTCTGGCTCAGGAGAGGAGAGGAGAGACATTACTCTCGAGAAACTTTCCTCTTGTAAATTTCACATGGTCACATCTCTTTCTACAGCTGATCGCTAACATAGCCCTACCCTCTCTCCTTCCTGTTAACATACATCTGTTTAATCAAAATCATGAGCAACAAGGAAAATCACCACAGCAACCCATCAGTAAAAACCAACAACTCACAATAGCACACCTATAGGGAAAGAAAAAAAAGGCCAAGTCTTGTTTTCTCAGATATGTGAGAGTCCTGTGCATTTGTGTGTGTTTGCATGTTAAGGACCTCATCTTGGCATGTCTCACCACGGTTCAATGTTTCCTTTTAGCTCTGTTGGCACTCTCGTGTTCCTGTTGGCTGACCTTTTCTGTTCCTGTGAAGTTCCTGTCATGCACTGTCTGTTCTCGAAGGTCACAGATCTCTTTGCCGAAACCAGCTGCACCATTTATTATTTCAGACAGAGGTACGTTATCCCAGAAATACAAATGAAATTTTTACAAATAGTGTGGGTTTATTTCTGCTTACATGACAGTAATGCCAGAGTTTAGTTAAAGTTACTGGCACTTCATGTAGCCAAACGCATTATTGTGATATCAAGCAAAAGAAAAATTAATGCACATGTAGAATTTTACGATGAAACTCTGAAGGGAAATTCTTGTATTTTTCAACCTGGGTCTTATTCTAATCATTGTGACCATGCTGACTCAAGCATCATGCTATTTGCACCTTTGTTGTGTATATCTCCTGTCTTACTGCATCCATTTTAAGAGTTCTTTTGGTTTATGCTTTGAGAAGCCGATGATTTTAGGAATGTGTAATATCAAATTAACTGACTACGAATTTTTAGCTTACCCAACAAAGCGCGGCATCCAGCTGCCAATCAACAGGTCTCAAAGGACAGAACCTCTGAAAACATGGTGAGAGAGGGTGAATTATAAACCCTCTGGATTCACTTCCTGCCAGCCATTGTGAAAAGTGATTTAGGTAATGGTTTCCAAGAAAGGGAATCTCTAAGAACTACAAGAACTAGTTTAGCTGAACCGCATATGCACTCGCACGCACACACACACGTACGTGCACAGACATAAAAATGCAGCCGAATGTATATTAAGTCTTGTAAATTTTGTGGTGGAAGTGTTGCCTGCGAGAAGTGGTCTGGCCTGCGAAGCCCTCTGGCCTACATTACTATTCCTGTGGCTGTGCGCGTGTATGTGTGTATGTGTGTTTCTGTGGCTTAGCCAAGGATGTGGTCTCAATGAAATGCTTACAAGACGGATCCTTCAGAACCCCCTCTTCAGTATCTTGCATGTGTATGTTGTGTCTTCTTGCATGTGTGTGTGAGTGTGAAAGAGAAAGTGAGAGAGAGAGAGAGAGAGAGAGGCATTATTCAACAGCCGCTCCTCCATCCAGGAGCATCGGATATTGGATTAGTGTGTTAATCTCCCTCTCGTTCTTTTCTCACGTTCCTCTTTCCTGGATCTGTGTGTGTGTGTTTGTGTGTGGCTGTGTACACTTGCCTTCTTCAATACTCCCTTCACAGTCCCGATCCATCCATTCTTTTTCTGCCGATGATCTGTGATGCTGCAAACAGGAGGCCTATACCTCCATGTGTGTCCTAGCTGCTGTCAGATATAAACCATAAGTAAAGCTTGATAAATAGAGACCAAGAGACAGAGAGAGGGAGAATTATGTTCCCATTCCAACTTTGAGTGTAAGAAAAATGTAATCTGCGTTTTTGATCAGCTGGTTTAAAGCTTTCGTAAGAAAAGAGTTTTTAAGTAATAGCGGTTGTTGCTCAAATTTTACGCTTTCAGCCAAAGACCAGAACAAAACAATGCACTTGGCATTATTGTAATGTTTCCTCTAACAGCCACGCAACCGCTGTTGGGATCTTATACTTGACAATGGACAATCTCTCTTATTTCTAAGCTTCGAAAATAATATTTGAACTGCAATCATGTCAAGCCAGAGTGAGTAATTTTGTATTTTTTTATTCACCAGCAAGTCTCCTTGGGTTTTTGGCGCATATGGTCTTTATCCCAAAATCTCATTATTACAGTATTAAGGAGATTTTAGGGAAATATGCTGTCTCAATTCAGGTTTTATAATTTGATACATCAAACATTGAAATTAATGACATACCATCAATGTCTTAAATTAGTTAATTGTTATCATAACCATTTGCACCATCTGCATCTCTTCTCTCAACAAATACTGATCGCTTTTTGAGGGGGGAATGAGCCTGACGGAGATTCTCAGTTTCAGAATCATTACATACATGTGCATACTGCTTGGAAGATGGTTTGACTAAAAGCCAGAAATGAGATAAAAGTTAACAAGCATTACACCAAAGTAGATGCTAGATTTACTTTGACACCAAAGTAGATGCTAGATTTACTTTGACACCAAAGTAGATGCTAGATTTTCAGTAACAGTGAAACCTTACACCATGAAACCTTCATATTAGGAAGATTTTCGTAATTGCCTGTAATTTCATGAGTTTAATGGAGGGTAACACAGTTAGAGGTATGGAGAGTGAGCGAGAGAAAGGCAAAAACAGATGGAGAGAAAAGAGAGAGAAACACTGAGGGAACAGAGACAGAGCACCTGCTCGGCGACCTCGGGCCCAGACAAAGACACCTCTGTCCCACAGTACAATGACGTCCGGGACACTGTAACTTCCTGTGTCTGGTGGGACGACCAAACAGCACAGCAAGCTAGCTGTTTGTGCAGGCTGGTTCAGTTCACACGTACACACACACACACACACACACACACACACACACACACACACACACATTGCCATGTTTCAGAGCTTCAGAGGACATTACATTCACTTGCATTCATTTTCTTTAGACTTTACCTTAACCCTTTGACTGTGTAAACAGATTTACGTCCCCGCAACATGAGTAATACACTCTCTCTCTCTCTCTCACACACACACACATACACACATTGGGCATTAATCAGTGGCCATTCTCTTCAGAGAGACATTTCAAGTTTCACTTTGTAGTAAAGTTTGAGATTTAATTTTTTTTTCAGGGAAACTGCTGGATTCTAAGTAATAGAGGGGCAAAGAAGTAAAAAGGTCAGCAACGTTCAGTCATTTCAAACTGCCTCAGAAGAAACAGTGTCTCCTCATCGATCAGCTTGCTTTTTGTAACATTTTCTCTCCCTTCCCTTACGTATTTTAATGCATTTGAATCATCATACATTTGTAGAATTCTTGTTTTGTCTATTTGATCTAAAAAGCAGAAAAGAAGACAGTAGTCCGGTGGGGAAAGAAAGAAAAAAAAGAAGGAAGTTGGCTGCCCTCCCCCTTCTGGGCTAAACTTCGGATGCTAAACTTGAGACTACCATCGCCATGGAAACAGCTCAACGGCCATAGAAGAAATGTAGATAGCATTTCTCAAATACTGTAGTTACCAATAGAAGGTCAAAATGAGAGAGGAAGGGAATGGCTTTCTGAAAATGGGGAAATTGCATTAAAGCTTACATCAAAGCAAATCCTTTTTTCTTTTCTTTCTTTCTTTTTTGGCCTCCGAATTAAGCTCAGCAATAGGTCCATGATATTCAGTGTTACATAACTGTCCACCACTTCAACGTCTGTCTTTGATAACAGGAAGGAGACTCAACCTTCTAGAATCAACAAACCCGTCCTTGGATTTTTATAGCTGTACAGTTCAAGGAAATCAAAGCATAAAATTCCTGACCTCCTTTTCCTGCTTACAGACTTAAAAACAAAACTATATTTGGCCCTTGGAGTTTACTGGTTACCTGCTTACAATTTTAATCAATAAAATGGCAGATTAACACTTATTATATATATAGGCTCTAATTTATGTTTAATCACAATCAACCTCTGTTTGATCACAAAATATATGAAAAGTATTTATGCTCGTCCAACAGCAACAAAAAGTACAATATACTTCTCTTCATGCAAGCCAAAAAGTAAACCTCTCTTTTATAAAGTAACCATGTTTATAGAAAATGCAGAGATACACATTAAAAATAGGTATATTTGAGCCTAAGGAAACAAAATAAACTTATATTACATTACATATTTTCTAGAAATTATATTTACTGTAACTTAATGTATTTGCATACTAATGATTTTTTTTTTTTTTTAAATGGTACCCTAAAAGGCTGGTAAACAGAGTTTTGGCAGGTTTAGCTTCCACTACAACAGTGAGGACATGTCAGTTTCTTAAATGCAACTTCTGTAAACCAATTACATACATTCCAACTCAACCCTGTAGTAGCAGAGCTGTGTCACAGTCATTATGGCACAAGATATATGGGAAAAGAACAGGGTACAGAGCCTCGCCGAGAGGACGACGTGATTGAAGTTTGATCCTGGTCACCAATTATGTGGTTGCTATGTTTCCTCTGTTGCTACCATGGTATCTTCCTTTCACACGCCCGAGATGAAGAAGACGAGGGGAGAGGAAAGGATATTATAAACACATGAATGTATAGGTGAAGTCAGAAACATACTATCGGTGGGGCTGAAAATGGGGAATTTACATGACTTCACAAATAGTACTAAAAGTTCTGAGAAAGTTATTGTCTTTTTCCTTGAATTTGTATCGTTGATGAATTTAAAGTGTAGGTCCTTACAGGTAAAGGTACTCCACAGACAAGTTTCTTGATATGAAGTCCAAAAATCTATTCCATTTTACACCTTGATGCACATTCAAAGATGCTACAGAGTAACTGTAGTACAGTGAACTGCTTGCTCACTCGATGAGACAAAGGCCAGTGCAGCAGTGAATACTGATACTGTAGTGGCAACAGATGTAAAGACCTTAATAATCTTTACTGATTCTGATAACAACCCAATTTTGATAACAACTGTTAATAAGGCATTAGATCATTTATTTTATCCAATAATAAAGCCATTAGTCACAACTTGTAAACATTTATGAGGAGTGTCTTATTGGTAAATGGTACCTCTTTATATGTAAGAAATGGTCTAGCTGTAACTTACTGTAACGCTGTTCAGTAAGTGGGAAAATGAACAAATTTGTAATTGTGAATACCTGTACAAAGCTCTACTCAGTACAGCCTGAAACATGGCTTTTTGTTAGCAAGTCTGCAAACATACATTATGCAGATATGTCCCAACTAAGATTTTTCCTCATAACATTAATGTGTACACAGGGGCAGTGTCAAATTTATTTAACTCCTATGTATACAAGTGAATGTATTTAAACAAAACAAATATATAAAAGAAGAAAAAACAAGAAATACTCTTTGGTTATTTGTTTTAGTCCCATGTTGGTGAGATCCCAGTGATACCACATTATCTCCTTCCCTGCTTGAATTATCACAATTTGTTTGACACAAAGAACCACAGATTTGCACAACAAGTTTAAAATTTTGGAGGCTTGCATGTTGGTAGGCCTACGTGAGGCATGGCCACCCAGTAACTACTTTCTCTCCATCCCAATTCACAAATAC